ATTCACTCAGTGATGGCAAAGCCTGTCAAACGGAGACCAACTCATTCATACACATTCACACACCAATGCACAGCATCCGGAGCAATTCAGGGTTCAGTATCTTTCTCAAGGTTACTTTGACATGTGGCGAGAGGAGCCGGGGATCGAACCAACAACCTTCCGATTATTGGACTCTTCCTCTGAGCCACAGTCGCCTGTACTGTACTGTACTGTTTAACTAATCTCCAGTATGTGTACAACTACGTACATGGCTGCAGCCATGCATCATATATTTTGTTGTGACCAGCAGGCCTATGTCGCAGATAGACATACAAGTCTAACTCCACTGACAGACAGTACACCTTGATGCTTTCTTTCTCTGCATATTCCTTAGTCTTGGCATTTGCTCTTTCAGTCTTTGCTGATGAACTGCAAGCCAGCAGAGTTTCTTCTCTCCTGCTTTGTAAGAAGTTTACTGGTAGTTTGGGTTCCACCCCTCAAGCCAATAAGGTTTATTTGAAGGGGTGTACATAAGACTGACATGACACCTGTCATGAACATAGATAGGTAGATAGATTATTTCCTTTCCAGGAAATTTGTTCTTACAGTCTATACATAAACTCATACATATACACACAACATTAACACAAGATAGACATAAACACAGCACATTTGTACATACATTCTGGTATTTACACATAACGGCTACTGGGGAGTTTTGTTGAGTAATGCTATGGCAGAAGGGACAAAACTTCTGCCATAGCAAGCTCGTTTACAGGCTAGTGTTCTGTATCTCTGCCCAAATGGGAGCAGTGTGAAAAATTGATTGAGGGGTGCCTGGGGTTGTGTGCTCTGTGTGTGATGGCTTTGCTGTTGAGGTCTGAGAGGTTGGGGCTAGGGAGACCAATAATTTTGGAGGCGCCGTTTGTGATGTGTATGAGTTTGGTCCTATTGGAGGCAGTTAGCATTTTAAAGAAACAGGGGGAACAGTAAAGGGAATGGGTTGTATTATACTCTTATAAAGCAACAGCAGAAGGTGGAGGGCAACAGAAAGGACATTGAATGTGTTGTTCAAAGCTCAGTGTATTGTCCAGAGTATTGTCCAAGGTATTTGAAGCACTCCACCATCTCAACAGCTTCATTATCGATGCTGTTGGTGGAGTTGAGGGTTGTGCTAGAAGTGTTAATTAACATTTACCTTAGACAGCATTGTCTTGGTTATGACAACTTGACATTAATGAAGACAGCAATGTCTTTATTAAGATAACTTGACAATACTGAAGACAACAATGTCTTTGTTACAACAACTTGACAATAACCAAGACAATTGCCTTGTTATGATAATTTGACAATAATCAAGGAAACATAACATGCCATGAAAGATCTAATTATCAAACTCTTTAGTTTTAGTTGTTACATTATTTCATTATTTACATTATTTCTGTCATATGTGGTTAACTTTGACGGTAGTTGTCCATTATACTGACCATTATAAATGTGTCATGAATATTCTGTTAACCTCAACTACAGTGATAGTTTTATTACACTGTCGAAAGCTTTTATAAAAAGTGTCATGAATAATCAATTTCATCTCAGGTAAAGTGCTAACATTTGGACTTTTACAGTATTGTGCAATCGCTTATACACACAGCACCTTACGCGCAATGCATATTATTTATGTTGTATAATGTTTTGTATTTATGCTTTTCCTTGTCCTTCTCATAGTTTTTGTAGTCTGTCTGATGATTGTTGAAACTTTGTAACTTAGCTTATTTGGGCTGTGTTGGTAGAGACGGTGAGGGCAATGACCTATGTGATCAACCAAGGGATGGCCATGTACTGGGGGACTTCACGATGGTCTTCCATGGAGATCATGGTGAGTTTACACACAAGTCTTAAAATAGCCAGTAAAAAAGCAAAAAAAAAAAAGCCAGTAAATGTATTTAGTTCCTTGAAACCAAGATTCAACCCACTACTCGAGCTGGTGGCAGGTTGAAATTATATTAACAGGTCAAGGGATGCCAGTGTTTGTGTTCTCCATCTGTTTGGGTCCACCACATTTCCGCATTTTGATTTTCTAAATATCCTTGGGTCTATCAAAGATCAGGTTTCTTTTTTTGAAAATGAACTGATGAACACTGGGTTCTGGTAGGGTCTGGATTTTTATCAGGTCAAAAATTTTGGACATGTGAAGACTTGTAGGGTGCAGAACTGTTAAGCTATTGTTCATTGTGTTAACTGCAGGAGGCATACTCTGTGGCACGACAGTTCAACCAGATCCCACCCATCTGTGAACAGGCAGAGTACCACATGTTCCAGAGGGAGAAGGTTGAAGTGCAGCTCCCTGACCTCTTCCACAAGATAGGTCAGCAGCTATAAATTACAATAATGAGGAACTCATTTTCTTAATTAGTATTATATATTTGTATGTAAGTAGTATTTTTCAGAATTGCTTTTAATGATTAATTAATTGTTGAGTGCGGTAGATATAGGTATAATTTCTTAGTGTTTTGTTTTTTATTACCTTTTCTTTTCCTTATTAACTTATGTGAAGTGTCTTTACGTTTCTTGAAAAGCACTCTATAAAT